AGAACAGTTTTTGCTCCTTGTCCTCCAATGTTGACTAAGTTCCAGGGGACTGTGGAGCATTTCTCAAAATGTCCTGTAACTGTGGTGAGTCACCTGTCTTCCTGTTCAGCGAGGCCATGGAGACCCCATGAGATGGACTTGAACCAGTGTCCAGTATACAAAGAGGAGGCTCAAATCAGAGGGAACATTTCCTCCGTGCTTCCAAGTGAGGCCAGCCATGGTCGAGCAGGAATTTTGACTTATCTTCATATAGATGGAACTGGTAAAAGGAGCCAGGGCGCCTCCCAAGCCCACATGACCCTTGAGGTACAGATCCTCAAATGACCTTAAGAGTAAAAATAAGGGTCTGGAGATGTGGCTCAGTGATTAAGAGCACTGACTGCTCTTGCAGAAGACCCGGGTTCAATTCCCAGCACACACATGGTGGCTATGAACCATCATTAACTCCAGTTTCATGGGAATTTGAAGCCCGCTTCTTACCTCCATGGCATTGCAGGACATGGGTGCACTCACACAGATTCAGGCAATACACTCATACACATAAAATAATAAATAAAATATTTTTAAAAAGAGTAAAAATAAATAGGTGTATCTGGGCCAACTGAATGGTCTTAAACACTCAAAAGGAATGTATAACCAAAGATTAAAGGGATCAATGTAATTCTTTAAGAGTCCATGTGTATAGCTAAAGGCTACATAACAAGAAACAATGCCAGACAGGAGATACCTTCCTTTCAGTTGTTAGCCAGCGTGGCCAAAGAGACTCCAAGACAGTAATCCAGCACAGAACTGGGAAAACGAACAGCAGATCCCAATCTTATCTAAAAGAATATTGTCAACTAAGGAAAAGCTGTTCTTCCTAAAACAAGGAACTCTAGATAGGCTGACTAGACTCAAAGGATGTACAAGAATTGGGGAATACTGGGGGCACTGACAACAGAGTGGACACGGATGACAGAGTATATGGACTCTGGGGGGTGGCAGTAGTATGGGAATATTGGAGGGTGCCGTTTGAGATGCAGGTATAAAGATGAATAAGATTTTCGGGGATGTTCTGTATGAAATACACACAAAAAATCAATAAATTAAAAAATGAGTTATATTTGAGGAAGAAGCATAAAAATTTGCTTCATGTTAATTAGTAGATGTGATAAACAATACCATTGAAATCTACCTGATTACTTTATATCCATACTCAGGTGCCAAGGTTCCAAGTGTATCTGATCTTGACTAGTAATAATCAGATGCTTAGAGATTAGAGATGCATGTGCAAACATCTGAATATTAGCTGCATTAAAAATGAGTTTTTCTGTATGAAACAGTATATTTTAAATTGAAATGGAGATATTTTTAATGGTTAAAACCCCATTCAAATTTATGTCTTATAGGGTTTATACTGAGTACAATATTGTATACCTATTAATTCAACTGTAAACATAAAAATTTACAGCCAATTTTGAAAAAGATGCACCTTAGCTCTGGAAATTGTTAGTGAATATTCCAATGCTGTTGTAATGAAATGCTTCTAATTATGTGGTTGTTAAATAATTTTAAACAAAAAGACAGTGAACTTGATTTTCTTATTAAACATGACTCAAAAGAACTAGTATTCTAAAGGGCTTATACCAAGTGAGCAATACCTGTTAAATAAATCATCTATCTATAAGCAATTCATATTTTTATTGTACAAGGTAGTTTCTTCAAATAATATTAATACCAGAAAAGTGTAAATAAAGTATTTGCAATGAGTAAGGGTTATTTTCTTTGTGTAGGTTGAAAGGTGTTGGCATAGTTCTGCAAGCAGAATCAATAAACTGAGATATTCTACTTCATAAATGCTTCCTATATGCCTGGGTTCTTTAGCAGATAGATCGCCTTTCAATGCACAACAAAGGAAAAGTCCAATTAAATTATTGTGTAGGAATATCAGCATGGATATCTGACTTATAACTACCATTAGAATTAAGTAAAGTTAATACTCTCAGGGCTTCAGTATATGACCTTTACTTTTTCCACATTATACTTATGTCACATTATGGAAAGCAAAACTCCCAGACCCTCTACATTATTTTAAATCTATACACACATTTTTTCAGAGTTATAAACCAACTCTTGTTCTACTCGTTATTAAAGAGAGACCACACTAGAAGCAGTTCGAAAATATTTCTAATTATATCCAGTTTGAATATGCAAAGTATCTGATAATTAACTATTTGGGAACATCTTCTAATGCTCCAAAGTTAGAAATGTTTGAACTTAACAATTCTTATGAATAGTTTAAATAATATAGAAAATATAAACTCAATTTCTATTATTATTGTCTGGAATATAACTCAATATTTTTGCCATTTTTGAATCTAGTTTTATCTGTCATATTAGGTATTATTTTTCTAGGTGTGAACTAAATACCTAGATACTTATTTTTATTGAAAACTTCAACTAGAAAGAACGCAAAACACAAATGTGATAAACATCATTAATGAGAACTTGACATCTGGTCAAATATTTTTTTTTAAAACTGTTTTATTTATTATTTTTACTTTATGTGTATGAATGTAATACCTCATGTAAGTGCACCCATTTTGTGCAATGCCCACAGAGGACAGAATACGCTGGCAGATCCCCTGGAATTGGAGTTACAGACAGCTGTTAGATGCCATGTGGGTGCTTGATTCCAAATCCAGGTCTTCTGCAAGAACAGTCAGTGTTCTTAACTGCTGTGCCATCTCTCCAGCCCCCATCTGTTCAAATATTTTATTCCTTTCTTTAGCAAGCACTTTTCCATTCCTCTTTTGTCATTTACAAGTCACACCCAAGGATTGAGATAGATAAGTTAGCCTATTTTCTACAGCTGTAAAGGCTGCTTTAAGAGGACAGTAGTTGGAAAAGTTCTTCAGTGTTTCAAGACATGAAAGGAGTAGATCTGATGGAGCATTTAGATTTGCCTCATTGTCGGATGTTAAGAAACTGTGTCAGCTGTAGCACAGCAGCGCCTGTTCTCTGTCAACACTAAACTTCTCCAACAACTTTCACTGTGAGGCTCTGTTCCAAGCCCAAATTTAAAAGTAATACAAATTTCAAGTCTTATTTTGTTAAAGGCGTACAGTAAACTAGATGTTCATATGAGCTCCAAAATTGAATGATCTGACATTGTTTAGACACTGTCATTTAACAATTATGAAAGAGCTGCCTTTTCTTTAAGATTGACGGGAACCATCATGAAAACACATCATATGATATGCTCATATAATTTGTTAATAAAATCTAAAGCAGTTGCACAAAAATATATTAAGTAGAAGCTATAAATGATATCTTATTAATTTATAATAGAGACAATGAGGGTTCACCAGCTGACAGGCACTGAAGATGCCAAGCTCAGAAAAAAAATTGTCTTAAAAGAAAGCAGTAACTATTAAACATAATTATGACACATTCTTTTTACATACTTAAAATAGTCTCTATTTTCTATCCTTTATGCTATGGAAATTTCATCTCTTCAAAACACAAAACTGAATCATCTAGCATGAAAAATACTTAAACGATTCAATTATTTTTTTACCTCTGCAACGCAGGTGCAGTGAAAAATCTTCAAAACTGAAAATGTCCCTATGTACAATGGTAAAGATGCATAATGTAAGCAAATTTGCTTTCAATATCCAATGTCATTTTATTCTGGAATGTTAGCTCAACCTGAATCAAAATCATGAAGACAATTTTAACAAATGCTCTCTTCTGCCTATTATCCCTACTTATCTTAACATAATATTTAGGACATGATACTTTGAAAAACCATAGCATACTTGGCAGGATTCATACAGATATTATTTTCAGCTTACACATAGTGTTCCCGTGGGATTGTATGCTTCAGTGTCCACTATGATCGGTTAGTTTTGTTTAAAAATAAAGTCTTCCATGCTTGAAACAGAATCCAAGTGAACATTCCCTGCAGGTCTTCATAATGTGACTCTTTGTGCCTTTCCAAGCCAAACCATTTGTTCCTTCTGCTACAAAAGCACTACCACAGACAATCTATAACTATCAGATATGGCTTATTCTCTGCTTGTTTCTGTGTTTTGTTGTGTTTTGTTTATTTGTTTTTGAGAGAGGATTTCATGCAGCCACATAGTCCAGGCTGGCTTTCAACAGGTAATACAGCTGAGGGTAACATTAAACTACTTGTCATTCTGAATCTACCATCCACATGCTTGGAGTGCATGTGTATATCAGCATGCCCTGCCATAGCTGTCTTCTGATAATATATAACAAATAACAGAGGGTAGAAGCATGGTGATACACACCTTTAGTCCTAGTTCTTGGGCAGCAGAGGAGGTGGATCTCTATGAGATCAAGGCCAATTTGGTCTACACAGCAAGATACTGACCAGCTGGGGCTCCAGGGAGACAGATCTTCCTATTACAATGGACTCTAGATAGGTTGACTACATCTCAGTGGATGTGCTTATACTGGGGAATGCCTGGGACACTGACGATACAGTGGACCTTAAGAGGGATGACAGAGTATATGGGCCCCAGAGTCGGGGCCATGGGAGGGTCACAGTGGGTACAGGGGTATAAAATGATTAATATTATTTGAGATATTCTGTATTAAATACACAAAAAATTCAATAAAAATTTTTAAAATCCCATAAAACAACAACAAAAACCCCCCAAAACAAAATTGCCTAAAGTCCAGCGTTCAACAATCATAGATCTAAAGGTCTATGGTCTAAATGTAGTTGTTTAAGATTTAAAGTAAAATATTACACTAATTTTTGGTATGGTTTCTTTTGTTTGTGTGTGTGTTGGAATCAGGTTCTCACAATAAAGCCCAGGCTGTTGTTGATCTCCTAATTCTCCTGGTTCGGACTCCTGAGCACAGGGATCACAGGCATGCAGTACCAGGCCTGTCCTTCATTCTTTTGTTATTATGATACACAGGTTTCATATTTTTATGTAATATTTTAGAACATATATAATTCAGGGAGTTACCAAAATACTAACTGTCGGAAATGGCGGAGACTTCCTCATTGTGATACAACCAGCTCACAGCAGGTGCAGGTGAACTGCTAACTCTGCAAACAACTTCCGCATCCTCTCCTTGCTTGAATTCTTGAGGAGATACCACTTCTTTGAAGGTCAGTTTTTCTGGGTCAAGAAAATAAACCAATAGTAAAGTATTTATCACTTAACCATCTCAACATACTGCTTATGACTGTTAATTAATAAGAATCTAATTAAATCTTTGACACTTTTACAACCTTGATCTTAGCTCCTCCTCTGCTTGCCAGCATGCTCCAAGAAACCACCTTCCTTGTGTTCCCTTGAACGTTCTTGATTTGGACTTTCATAATTCTGAAAATTACCTTCCCACTTCCAACTTTCCGAATTTCTCTACTCTCATTTAAAATATTTTCTATACAATCCATTACATTCATAAATGACATCTATATATTTAAATTATTTTTATTCAAAGGCAGAATAATTTGATTAGACATCAATAAGTATGTTGACTTAATGATCAGAGATATTTGTGTGTAATAAGGATTGTCAATGGAA